AGCAGCCAGACCATATAGAGAAGAATTTGGAAGTCTTCCGACAGCTCCCTCCTAGTCTTTATCTGAGTCTAAAATCATTATGTAAGGAAACTCATCAAGATAAGGAAAACTATTTATTAAAAATTAAAGGGAATCATATCTAGAATCCATATATTCTTGGAAGAATGCCTAATTCTACCAGTTACAGTAGAAAATTTCATCATTCATAGGATACTGAAGAGAGCACTCACAATTGTTTTGTCTCTGTAGTAAGACCAAACTGTAACTAGACTGTTACTGTTGTGGTCACAACTGCAAAGGTTCACAAAGATGAGTCTCAGTCAGCAGACTGGGATTGGGGACTCGTGTACGTGCTTGAGTTTTGGGTGGGAAGAAAGGTAGGACCGCAGGCCAGCATATTGGCGTGGCTTGTTGGTGGACCAAGTCTGGAGACCATGCATGTACTTGGGTTCTGTGTGGGTGGGCAGAGCTCCAGGTTAGCAGACCCTACCACTGGAAGACTATGCTTGGGAACCAGCATGCTCACAGGCATGGGAACTATGGATGCTCATGAAAGGGGTTATGGGGATATATGGGAGGGAGGATTGCTAGGGGAGTATGTTACAGCCGAGGAATGACTTCTGGGGGAATTCCACCAACAAGGCCACTGTACTTGAAGGTAAACAAGGGAGCTGAGACCAGATGGTTTAGAGGAGGAAACTGGAGGACCGTTCTGGGTCAGATCAAAGCACCTACACACGTGGCAGACCTGAGCTTAGCTAGTTAGCGTTAACCACCACCCACTGCTACATATGAAAGCTAGGGCTGAGGGGCCTAACTGGCAAGACTAGAACACAGAACCTGACAATGAGTGGATGGGTCGTGCTAGGCTGGGCCATTACACTAACTGGCAAGCAATAGAACTGGGTCAGGGGCAGATTCTATGGGGGATATATGGGCTTATCTTTTGCAGGACTGAAATATTCACTGGTTTTCTCGAGAGCTGGGAGTGATGATAGAGTGAGCTGCACATGATCATGGAACTTACAGGCACACCCACACATTGTGTGTGGGGCAGACTGGGCTACAACATCTACCAGCAGACATAAAGGCCAACACTGGGGAGCAGAGAATGCTGGTTAGGGACCTAATACCTGCTGACACACATGATGTCTGATTCTGGAAATGGGCCTGGTGTGAGAACTTGGGAAACTCCTCTGGTGGACTGTAACTCCGGCTGGTAAATATATAAGTGAAGGCTGAGGGTAGGCCAGGCCACAAAAGGCTGCTTCATTTGTTGGCAGGTGTGTGGGCTGGCTCTGCAGAGTGGAAAAGGCAGGGCTTGGCCAAATCATAGCACAGTGACATATGCAGGATCCATGATAGAGTGAAAGCCATGCCAGGCTAGGCTATCACACCTACTGGTTTGCACAAAAGCCAGGGAAGGCTGGACAGGGCTAGGTTGCAGCACCTGCCAATGAGTTTGGGACTGGGGCTGGCCAGGTAAGGCCAGGTTGTAACATTTAATGGCGAGGCCCAAGAGAGCAGGGGATGTCCCTGCTGAGCTGCAGTTCCCATTGCTCAGTGGGGGAGCTGGAATGGGGGCAAAACTGGCTAAACACAGCTGCAATATCCCTCATGTGTGTGGGCTGGGTCTGAGGGTATGGCAGACTGGGCTAGGCTCCAGCACCCATTGGCATTCATGAGAGTCAGAGTTCGTGTGGTATAGGCTGGGCTAGGCTGTAGCACCCACTGATCCACATGAACTAGGCAGAATTGGGCTACAGCACATTTGGAGAAAGTCAAAACAGACATGGTCTGGTCTGGCAAGGCCATGGTACCCACAGGTAAAGATTAGGATTGAAGGTAGGCCAAATCAGGCTGATCCAAACACCCACCTGTGTGTTAAGATTGTCAACTGGGATCTGGTTTGATAGGGAAACTTGGTGACATCCTCCATTAAGACACAGCCCCAGCTGGTAGGTGGAAGAACTGAGGCTGAGGACAGTCCAGGCCATGATAGGCTACAGTACCCTTTGGTATACATGTGGGTCAGCTCTGGGGGTGGGTCAGGCTCTACCAGTCTGCAACACCCATTAGCAGGCATGAGAGTTAGGACAGGGTGCAGTCCAGGCCGGGTTGGGATGCAACGCATAGCAGTTTACATTAGGGCTGGAACGGGTGGCTGGCCAGGCTGAGCTAGGCACCCTGTAGCATGAGCTGAGCCTGGTGGCAGACTAGGCGGAGCCAGGCTGCAGCACCTGCTGGTAAAATCTGTAGTAAGATGGGCCATGCCAGACTGAGCTGCAATACTCACCAGCACAGACATGACCCCATCTCAGGAGTAAGTCCATTAAGGGGGGTGTAGTGGCTTCCCTGCTGGGCCACTGCTCCCAGTGGGAGGGTAAAAGCTGGGACTGTGGGTGGTGTGGGCTACACAGGACTGCAACAACAGTCGGCCTGCATGTAAGCTGGGTTTGGAGGAAAGCTGGGCTAGGCCAGGCCATGGCATCTACTGGTGCATGTAAGAGCCAGGACAAGCACTGCCTGGTGGGGATCTGATGCAGCATCTGCTGGCAAGTAACATGACAAGGTGTAAATCATGTCAGGTCAGATCATAGTACTCCCTGGAAAGTGCAAGATTTTGACTGGGAATAGGCCTAGAAGGGAAAATATGGACACATCTCTACTGGGTTGCAACTCCCTCTGGAGTTCAGGAGAGCCAGAGCTGTGGGTGGAGTAGGCTGAACAAAGTGGTAGCATCTGTTGTCACATGTGTGCTTTAGATCATGGGTGAGGTGTGCTGAGTTAAGCTGCAACACCCATAAGTGTATACAAGAGCCCAACTGGGGTACATCATGGACCAGACAAGACTAATGTACATACTGGCATATACAGGAACCAGAGCTGGGTGCAGGCCTGGTGATGGTTTTAAGGAATCACCCCAACTAGATTGCAACTCCTGTTAGTGTGTATAAGGGCCAAGTCTCTGGCAGGCAGGACTGGGCTGGGCCACAGAACTCATAGTTTGCATAGAAAAGGGGGTGGGGATAGAACTGACCAGACAACTATAATCAACAGTGGGTGTGTAGGTTGATGCAGGTGAAGGGTTGAACCAGTCCCTGCACTGGCTGGCACATGAGTCTAGGGTCATCCCAGATGAGGTTTCTTGAGAGACTCCCAAAGTCACACTACTAAGAGAAGGAAGCAATAATGCCCAATGTTAAACAATATATATACTAGATGCTAGTAACTGCAGATGATAAATTGAGAAACATTGGACTAGTCAATTTGACAATAAAATTATTCAAAATTATTCACTGATATAAAGTACTAAGAAGAAAAGGAACAGAACGCCAATATGTAGTGAGGCAGCTTTAAAGAGTCTAATATATTCTACTATATGTTTCAGTATTTTTTCAAACAATATTGTCACAAATCTAAGAAATCTGGCATAATTCAGGAACAAGAAATATACAGGACACTATACAAAGGCACATGGTAAATGAATTTCTTGATTCCCAGGGTATTCTCTATTAAACCTTCACCATGCTTATCTCCACCTCAGGCTGGCTTCCCAGGGAATTCAAATTATGTCCCCAAATCCATACCAAATAACTACCTCCAGGTAGCAGAAGGATAAATTTATTTCTGTTACTTGATTATCTTTTTTCAGAATTATATATGTTCATTTTGTAATAAAACATCTAACTGCTTTGCATACGTTATCCTAATCAATGACAAAATGATTACATATCTCCCTAACAATACTTTATATGATTTTAATAGATTCCTGTCTTTCAGAAAGAGACCTTATTTGGCTGTACTGCTCAAAATTTACTTTAGTATTATGAAAAAACATTATCTCCCAATGCTCACAGATTGGGTATTCTTTAATTTCCTCTATCGCCAAATGCCAATGTAGGTTTATATATATATAAACACATATATATTTATATATATATACATACATACATAATACATATATTTAAATAGATATCAAAAGGATTTAATAATATTCATTTTCTGTGTCAGTTTTTCTTGTAAATCAAATTTACATGCTTATCAAAATGCATATCTGTTATGCAGAAATATTTAAGAATGGAAAAGGATAAAATTTAATAGTACATCACTTTTATGAATATAGGGTTTTGAAATGTCTTTTATGTACACAACATTTTGAAAATTAACTACTTTGCTGCATGCTTTCATCTATCTTAATCAGTACTTTCTGGCAATGAAAATTGGCTACAATTCAAACATATTTTATTGAAAACTGTAACAGAAACAACTTGAGCTAAAAAAGCTGCAAACATCTATGACTAGGTTCAGCAAGAATAACATTTCTAATACCTAAACCATAACTTATTAACTAAATTATATTTTCCACAATTTAATTTAGGCTCATGTATATTCAAAGACAAAACAAACTGAGATATAGCTACACACTGGTTATAGTCCTTATGTCACAGCCCTCCCCCAAATAAGCAATAAGTATCTCCAATTAGCTCTGCATTGTTTTGGCCCTGGACCATCTCAGAAGGCATTTTGTCAGTAGATTATATAGGAATACTGCAACACCACCACAAATTGTCTTAAGAGAATAGAACTGTAGCTTTATCAGGATGGATGCTTCCAGCAACAATATTATTGCTAACTATACCACAAGTTCTCCTTTTGGACTGACTGTAGTCAAAAGTAAAAACACACACCATGCCAAGTCACAAGATACTCTACTAACAACACAGATGCAACTATACCTTTCATTTCATCAAATAAGACCCTTCCATCTAGTTCAACCCTCTTTTCCTGATGCAAAAAATAATAAAAATCCTAGCACAACCTCTGAGAACAATTATTTCGAACAACGATTTTCTAGTGTGTGTTCTGATGACCAAAAAAGCCAGGGAGCACAAACTTACATTATGTTCAACGACCTGATGTAAAGAAAGTGAAACAATCACAATATTGTTATGAAAATAAAAAAAAAACACTTGGAAACAGAAATGTTAAAATCCTACCTTAAGATACCATTTATATTTAGCGTGTTCCCAATTCTCAGGATTCTGTGTTTTTGTGAGAAATTGTTCAGCTTCTGTTAGCCATTGATTAAATATCTTCATATCATAATGAAAACGCCGCCACTTCTCAACAGATCTGTCAAATCGCCTAGAAGTAAAAAAATATGGATCAAGAAAAATAAGTGGATTCTATAAAACGAATTATGTGGGCACAGCAAAGACTTTATTGACATTGACAAAGATATTATTCTGAAACTTTCCCAAACTTATAGAATTCCATTCCAACTAACAAATAATAATACTGAACAGAAAGGATGATTTAAAATTAAAGGCTGGATCTTTGTCTTTAAAACTGAATGAATTTCTTGATTGAAACCAAGACAAAGACAATTATTTTAAAAGATATGCATTTCCTTCACCATGATCAATATTCATTTTTTCTTAAACTCAAGAATTTTAAAATGTTAACACCATAATTAATCAAGTATTTGGAAAATATATGCTGCACTTCAATTTCTTAAATCAAAATCAAACTATCTCAATAAGTCTATTAGCTCCAATACTACCTTTGATCCAAAATTTGTCTTTTCATTAAGACCAGCAAGTATCCAGAATGTCAGATATAATTTTTATTATACAGTCTGATGTCAACAATTAATCAACCAATAGATATATCAGTGATGTACATTTTCATTCCTCTTCTCTGTTTCATTGTATCCACTAATATTTTAAATTGAAATTCTGGAACAACTTATGGCAATGTGTTAATATCACATGTAAACATAATAGTAACAAGCAGGTATTTAGTAATTTTCTGGTCACAGATGACCAGAAATTACATATAGAAGTCAGAAATTATTTTGACCCAGGACATCACAATTACTGTAAGACAGCTGCACATAAGAATCACATGGGGTGATAAAAGATGAGAATGCCAACGACAGTAGCAGCCACAACAGCACTAACCCTGGAACTCTACCCCAATTACATCAGTATCCTTGGAGGTGAACTCTGACATCAATGTATTTTTTAAAGCACCCAGGTGATTCCAATGGACAGGTAGGGAAAATAGTACTGCAATAAAATAAGAGTTGGTATCTAGAGGAGTTTATGATCTACTTGGGTTTCCAGGGTCTGTTCAAACAGGTGTCCACTAGCATTAAGCCAAAAGCCATCCTTAAAACCCCTGCTCTGGAGCTGCCTCAGTGTATAATTAGGAATCTGTCAGTGTCCTCTGAATTCTCCAGCGAGTTTGAATTTGAACGATAGTGGATGCTGGGTGTGGTTTAGGTGACAAATACACTAATACAAGGTGTTAATAATAAGGAAAGCTGGGTGTGGAGTACATGGGATCTCTGTACAACATTATAGGATTTGTCTTATAAAGTTAAAAGTATTCTGGAAATATATAGTAACTGTGTAATGAAGACTATCTTTCTAGATATGAAGATATAATGCAGCATATACCTCTACTTCCAAACCAAAACTGGACTCCCAATGAAATTGTTAACTATATCTTGAAAATAGGATACTAGCCTCTGTCATTGTCCATACCTACAATGTCAGGATACACATAAATAGCAGAGTGATGGACTTATGACTGCGTATGAAGGACTGTACTACTGTAATAATATCAATGAAATTAATTTGGGGGAGGGGATTTGGGCAGGGACTAAGGGAAATGCCAGAGCCTAGGGAATTGTACCATAAAATAAAAAAGAAAATTTCAAAAAGAAAGAAAAATAATTTAAAAATTCTTATGAAACAAAGTTTTAAAATTATTTCCAGTCTTACAAAGAAATAGGCTATATTAATATGTCACACTCGCACTTCTACCTTCATTTAGAAATTATCAATAAACTCAGAGACTAAATGATGGCACATCAGCTTCCTTTTACAGGGAAGAGAATGGAATTCACATTTGTTGAACAGTTACTACGAGCCAGGCACTGGGCTCTGTGTTTTTATAATACCGTGAGTGCAACTTCACCTCCACGGCTCAGCGATCATTATTCTTATCTTCCACTAGACAAAAAACTGAAAGGCTGAGTAACTTGTAAAACACACACACACACACACACACACACACACACACACACACATTAGATAGCAGACAGGGGACTGAAATCTTGTATCTCTGATTTCAATGGTGCCCATCCACTGCCTAACATGCTCCTTAGAAGTAATTTCTGCTTTTACAGAATGAAGCCCCTCTCTACAATTTAGACAATTCAAAATGATAGTTGTACAATACTGTTTCCTTTTTTTACTATTTATGTACAATTTACTGATATGTTCAGTGAATTTAATGAATAATTGCATTAGATAACTTTGAAAATATCCAAAGCAGGGGATATTTCATCACATAATAAGGGTAGCTAAATAGCTATTTTTTAAAGATCTATTTTATTTTCATTGGAAAGTCAGATATGCAGAGAGGAGGAGAGACAGAGAAAAAGATCTTCCGTCCAATGATTCACTCTCTAAGTGATTGCAACAGCCGGAGCTGAGCCAATCTGAAGCCAGGAGCCTAGAACCTCTTCCAGGTCTCCCATGCAGGTGCAGGGACCCAAGACTTTGCGTTGTCTTTGATTGCTCTCCCAGGCCATAAGCAGGGAGCTGGATGGGAAGTGGGGCCACTGGGATTAGAACCAATGCCCATATGGGATTCCAGCACATGCAAGGTGAGGACCTTAGCCACTAAGGCTACCACGTAGGGTCCTAAATAGCTAATTTAAAGGTAAGATTTGTGCTTTTTATAATGAATGGAATACTACAGCCAATCAAATACCATCTCATTCAAAAACAAAATGATCTAAAGAATATATTTTCAGTGATATTTTGTACCTAATGAATGGTCTAAAAACACCTCTTAAGATTTCATTCACTTTTTCTAAAGTTTCTCTTGCTTATTTGTTTGTTTGAAAATCGGAGAGAGAAAGAGTGAGATCCTCAACCTCTTAGTTCACTCCCCAGATGGCTGCAATGACCAGTGCTGGGCCAGGAAAAACCAGGAGCCAGGAGTTTCATCCAAGTGTCCCAAGTGGGTGGAAGAAGCCCAAACACTTAGACCATCTTCTGCTGCTTTGCCGGGCTGGACTGCAAATGGAGCAGGCAAGACATGAACTGGTGTCCACATGGGAGGACATTATTACATGTGGTACATTTTATTCATTATGCCATAAGTCTGGCTCCAAGACTTTACTTAAAGAATTACATATCACCTGTTTTACAGATACTTGTATCATTGAAGTCAAAGAGCTGCTGTTGAATGAGAAGAATGAAAAGCTAAAAAGCATAGTTAGTACTGTTCTATATTGGCAAAAGTAAAATTCATTTTAATTTTCATTCAGGGTATTTTCTCTAATGTCTATATTTTATACAATGTGCTTTTCACACTGTCCATAAATTTATTTTAAAAAATAATTTAAAATTGTAGTACAGCATAGTAGGGACTTCTACATTAACTGTCCCATAGTCTAAGAAACAAATTAGGTGCCAACCAGAGCTCAGGAGTTTACAGTAATCCACAATTCATCCCTACATCTTTGTGGTGAGCATCAACCTTTTTGGTTTGATATTTTTCTACCCAATTATCTGACTTACCCTGTTTGCCAACAGCTTCGGCCACTAGGAGGTGATTGTTGCCCTAAAATGCAAGCTGGGTCCATACTGGTAGCCTAGAGGCTAAATCCTTGCCTTGATTTGCCGAGATCCCATGTGGGTACCATTCATAGCCCAGCTGCTCCACTTTCCCTCCTTATGGCCTTGGAAAGCGGTAGAGGATGGCCCAAAGCTTTGGGATCCTGCTCCTGTGTGGGAGACCCGAAAGAATCTTCTGGCTCCTGGCTTCGGATTGGCTCAGTTCCAGCCATTGTGGCCACTTGGAGAGTAAACCAGCAGATGAAAGATCTTCCTCTCTGTATCTTTCTCTCAATAAATCTACCTTTTCAATAAAAACTTTTTTTAAAAGTCCACTATATAGGTTACTTCAGTTTTTGTGAATATGGGTTTAAAAATCTCTACTTCCAAATCAAAGATGGACTCCCAACAAAGGTGTTAAATACTTCACAATAGGTTGTTGGACTATCTGCCATTGTCCATACCTACAATTTCAGAACACACCTAAAGACTGGAATGATGGATTATGACTGTTCACGAAGGACTATACATTGTAATAATAAAGGAAAAATCAGTGGGGGGAGAGGGGATCTGGGCAGTGGGAGTTGAATCCCAGAGCCTATGGCGCTGTATCATTAAAAAATAATAATAATTTATTTTGCTGCAATTTTTAAAAATTCATGCATAGTCTTTTCCAGAAAACACTCTAATGCGGGCTGACACACAGTCCAATTCATTCTCTTGCACTCCCCACTCTGGTATTTGCCAAGCTATAGCAGACACAGCTCTCAACTCCTACCCTTGGCCTTCGCCAAATCCTGTTATGTTCCACTGGTTGTCCTGCCTATACATTCTTCCAAGGGATGAAAACCATGAGGATTCACACACTGGATCATAGTGTCCCATGCCCTACAAGTCAGAGTTGGATATAGGGTACAAACAAGAAAGGATCGAGGTCCTATGTTCTTCATTCATACCCTTGTTGTTGACCTTGAAACGGAGGACACGGTGCACTTTCCAGCCACACAGCACTGTCTGCAGTACTGCACTTCCTGATATTGCCTCAGGTCTTAGGGATTTTCACATAAGTTGCACACTACTGTGATGTCCTCCTTTCCTTTTGCTCTCTTCTGCTCAACTGCTATAACCATAACATTTACAACTATAAAGACTAGATATAAATGATACAAACTGTCACCAGATGAATATATATACTCACATTGCCCACATCTACTAAAACTTTGAAAACTATTAAGTTGGTTTAACTGTTTAATTTTATTACTACAATTACTGTTAAAGTGAGTAACTTTATTCAAACAAAAAACTAAAGAATAAAAACATGCATTTAGTATATGATGACATTTAATGTGAGAAATAACACTTTAAATTCCGTTTCAACAATCACATAAAATTTTTAAATATACTTTTCAGTGTTTAATAGGCATTGTTAACAGCAGTTTAAATCTATTCCTGAATTTACTATGTAAAATTACATTTTTATTATGACTATGTATAAGCTCCCACCAA